ACTCTGCTCCTGAGCAAAGAATCTTATTCCTGTCCTTCAGGGCACACGGAACCATGTGGAGGGACAGTGGGGTCAGGCTCCAGGACAGATCTGCAGCAGGACAGGCAACTTCAGTGAGGAACTGACCTGCATCTCAATTGCAGGCTGAGAACGGGACGTGGTCAGCAGGCTCCGCTGAGTGTCAGCCCACACCTGCCGGGGACTGGCCCCCGGGGAATGGAGCTGAAGCACGGTCACCACCAGGACTAGGAAAACAAGACAGACACAAGAGAGAAACACTGGATGGGGGACCACAGGCTCATGGACTGAGTCCTGACTTGCCCCTTCTCACTGCTCTACACCAACAGCCATCATACACCAACGGCCATCAGAAGCACAGGGGTGGCAACTACAGATGTTGACCTGCTCACCTACCCAGAGAAGTTGCTCCCTGTCAAAGGGTCTGCACCGCAGGACTGAGGGGCAACGTCTCTAAAGTGGGTTTATCTCAAGGTTTTTCCTCTGGGAAAGAGGAGAGATCAAGCCTTTACAGGACTGCATTCCTCCTCAGCAGCTTTGCACTGGTGTTGGCTCACCTCCTAGAAAGTGCAGATCAGCCCCATCTTGCCCTTGTCCTTAGTCCTCCTGACTTATCCCTTTGTTCCCCACACAGACCCATATCTCCCACACCTTTGTTAGGTGTTTGACAACAGTGGGAAACTGTAGTCTCCAAGACTGAGGCAGGTGGTACAAGCTGTGCTGGGCTATGTGACTCCACGAATTGGGGCTCTGCACCCTGGACCGGTGGGGGGGGGGCTTGTGTGCAGCCCAGTTTGGGGTGCTGAGCCCCAGGTCTGATGGAAGCTGGTACCAGATGCCTCTTTTCTAGGTGGCCTCTGGGTGGACACGGCTTCTCTCAAGCCCTATATTGGGCACCTTCGGGTGACAAGGAGGGAATTGTTCGGGTGCCATGTGCTGAGGTCGTTCCCCTGGATTTCGCAGGTGATGGGGCAGTGATTGGCAGGGGAACAAGGAATGGAAAGGTCTCCAACGGGGGTTGAAGTTAATCCCACCCAGGTCCTGCGGGTGAGCAGCAGTGTGGGGACAGATGCTGTTGGTGGGCTGTGTGAGACGTTGTCAGACCCCGGGGAAACTGTGTGCCCTGGTCTGAGAGGATTCAGCAGCTGAGTGTTGACTCTGCAGGGAACAGTGTGGACGGCAGCTGCGGATGGAGATTGTGGAGTACACGGGACTGAGAGGACCTGGTCACTGGAAATCTCTTGGGGACACATTCTGTTTCAGTGCAGTAGAGATATTGATGTATCTACTAATTTTTTAATCTCCTAATTGTTTCATTTTCTGTTTTCCTTCCAAGCTAGGTCCTGGTTGTTTGTCTACTTCTGGTTCTTCTGGTCAGCTTTATGACTTATGACATACACATCTCTATCCAGATTCCAGAAGGGGCACTCAAAGCTCTCACCTCAGTCTGCCTCCCTGGTCACCTGGGCTAGGCTACCTGCTTATATCTACTATTTGGAATGTTGTCAGATTTTTTTCAATTAAAATGTTTTATTGAATCACCATGAGAAACAGTTCCAAAGCTTTCAGGTTTTGAGTTTCAGTCATACAATGATTGAACACCCATCCCTCCACCAGTGCACCTTCTCCACCACCAATGTCCCCAGTACACACCCCCATCTAACCCTCGCCCTGCCTCTGTGGCAGATAATTTCCCCCATACACTGTCTCTACTTTGGGACATCATGGTTAATGTTGTGTGACTTAATGTCTACGCAAAAATACTCGGATATTTCTCTAAAATGTGAAAATAGAATTTCCATATAACCCAATGATTCCACTTTTGGGAGTTTACCCAAACTTGAAAACAATTTGAGAAGATATATGCGAACATAATTAATTTCATTGCAACATTTGATATACTGGTGAGGACAAAGAAATCATTCTCATGTTTAATGAGAGTTTCATGGTGAAGAAGTTGTGGTGTATATTCAAAATAAGATGCCATGAAGGAATAAGAAAAATGCGATATCAGTTTGCTGCAGCACAGATGAGACTGACAAATATCAAATTAAATTAAATAAGTGTTGCTTGAGCGTTTGTTCAGTTGGAGGCGCTGAGACAAGAAACGCGAGAGAAATTATATTTCATGGAGGGCCCTGTTTTACTCACAACCTGTAACATAAAGCAGAGTGTTCTGAGGTCTCCTTTTATTAATCATAATACCTCTAAAGGGCACAATACAGTGATGTAATCAAAAGATAATATAACATCATCGATTATGCCTGACCGATGTCACTGTTGTCCCAAAATTCCAAACGGGATTGGACCACCGTCTCCTTCTTGCAAAATTCTACTTCACACAGCGGGAAGAAAGGGGTGCAAAGTTTAAGAAGAGAACTCTTAGAACGACCACCAACTGGGAGCTCTTTGACACTATTGCTGCAACAGGGAAGATGCCATTGTTGACAACATTGACAAGGAATAGGATCGACTGATTCAGCACCTCCATGATTGTGCGAGGAACGCCAAGAGAGAGAGAGATAGCCACAAAAAAAAAAAAACACACCTGTCTTTGAAAACTCTTGAGCTTATTCACCAACGTGGCTTGGCACATGCCTCAGGCAACCACAAGGGAATGTCTGAGCTCGCAAAGCAGTGCAGAGATGCGATAAAGGAGACCTCAAAGAGAGAAGAGCAGAAGTACTGGTAGATGTGGCAGAGGCCGGGAAAAGCATTCATAACACCTGCCTGTCCTACGCCAACTACAACACCAAGATGAATGCCCTATGATGTCCTGATGGAATTATCACATCTTCCAGAAGGGTAATGGAGAAGATTATCCATGACTTCTACTCAGATCTCTTTGAGAGCCACATCCATCTGCCCACAAACCAAACTCCGCAGGATGGATATGTCATTCCCAACGTTGTTCAGCGTCTGCGGAGAATGGAGGGGACTCAGGAGAGGCTGGTGTGTGGGCTCCCTGGAAGGAGGTGCTGACTGTGGTTCAGAACACTCAGGCTTGTCCCTGGGGCCCTGTCAAAGCTGGGCCTCTTCCTCCAGCACAGGAAATGTACTGAGGAGCTCTCAGGAAAGAGGAACTGCTGAGGGGGAAACGGCAGGTGGGGAGGAGAGTCCCCATGTCTCAGGTCCTTGAGGACCAAACCCAGCCCTTCCAGGGCCTCTACTCTGTAGACAGGCCCCTGACCCTCCGTGTTCCTGTGTGTTCAAATCTATTGTCCCTGTGTAGACTCTAACTTTGTGGCAAACAGTCATTGTCTGTTCAAACAATTCAGAAGAACTAGGTCCAACTCATGGTCAATAAAATTCAGAGGTTTATTCACATACTGGGTTCCGCAAAGGATTCAGCACCATTGACCATATCCACACGATAACCAAGCTCATTGAGGTTTCTTGGGAGTTCAAGATGCCGCTCTGTTTAATGTTCATTGATTTAAAGAAGGCCTTTGATTCTGTTGAGACGGAAGCGTTCATTGAAGCCCTAGCCATCAGGGCATTCAAGCCCAATACATCAAGATCCTCCGTAAGTTGTATTGCGGATTCACTACCAGGATCTCAGCATTCTACAACGAAGTAATCATTGATGTCAAGAGAGGGGTGGCAGGGTGATACCATTTCACTGAAACTCTTCAGTGCCACCCTTGAGAACATCATGTGACAACTGGAATGGGAAGGAATGGGAGTGAAGATAGATGGTCTGCAACTACACCACCTCCGCTTTGCTGATGACATTGTTTTAATAACACCAAACATCAGCCAAACGGCACAAATGCTGGCCGACTTTGACCTTGAGTGTGGAAAGGTAGGACTACAGCTGAATCTTACGAAGACAATGTTTATGAGAAACCGCCTCGTTCCTGATGCCCCATTCACTCTCAACGGAATGACCATATCCAAATGTAACAGCTATGTGTACCTAGGTCGAGAGGTCAACATGACAAATGACCTGGCACCCGAGCTGCGCAGGAGAAAGAGAGTGGCTTGGAATGCCTTCAAGAACGTCGAAGAAATAGCTAAGAGGACGAAGAACCTCTGGCTCCGGGCACATCTCTTTGATTCCACTGTTCTTCATGCATTAACATATGCCTCAGAGACGTGGACCCTACACAAACAGGATGAGAATGCTATTAGGGTTCTCCCAAAGAGGAATCAAAAGAGCTATGCTTGGAATATCACGTTTCACTCAAATGAGAGAAAGAATCCGGAGTTCCTACATCCGTCGACGATCAAAAATCAGGGACTCTGTCTCGTTTGCCAAGGTGTCAAAAATCAGATGGGCTGGTCATGTAATGAGATTTAAAGACGACTGCTGGACTAGAGCTATTACCAACTGGATTCCACGGGATGTCAAAAGACTACGTGGCCGCCCACCTACCAGACGGTCAGACTTCTTCATCAAGATCATAAACGATCGGTTTGAGGCTCTTCATGTTCCTAGAGAGAACAGATGTCATTGGGCTACACTAACACGTGACAGGGACAAATGGAGATGTTACTGGTGCCCGCTCGAGCAAATCGACGACTAACGGGAAGTTAAGTGATTAGGTGATTAAGTGATTCACATATTCAACTTTAATGAAAATTCTTTCACTATAGCTGCTTCATTCTGAAACATGCAAAGTACCTATGGGCTGGATTTGTGAATTCTCCTTAGTGATGAGTCTGTTGGGATAAGGAAATGCTTCTTCCTAGAAGACCTTCTTCTGGTGTGCGTGGCCTTTTGAGGAGCACCTAAACCTGCTCTGCCCTGTATAAAACTCCCCACCCAAAAAAGAAGCCATCTTCCTCTGGGCTGTTGCTGAAGGACAGAGAGAGATCCTTAGCCTTTCTCTCAGATGAAGCCTGGACTTGTGCGCCCCATTCTGTGTCTCAGACCCTGACTCTCTGAGGAGGAAGTTAGGAGGATCAGCGTGTCTGTAATCTTCTCACCTGGCACAGCTGCCTCCCCTCAGGTTTCTGACACACTCAGAATGTGGTTGTCACATTGTGTCTCTCACACAGTAATACAAGGATGTGTCCTCACTGCTCAGCCTGCTCAGTTCCATGTAGGCTGTTTCCTTGGATTTGTCTGCAGTTAGTGTGAGTCTGCCCTGGAACTTCTGTGCATAGTTTGTACCACCATCCCTAAGGCGTATCCATCCCATCCACTCAAATCCTTGTCCCAGGGCCTGCCGCAACCAGTGCATCACGTAGTTTGTGAAGGTGTATCCGGACGCCTTGCAGGAGATCTTCACTGATGTCCCAAGTTTTCCAACCTCAGCCCCTGACTGTACCAGCTGCACCTGGGAGTTCACACCTGTGGACAGCAGACAGGAGTGGGTGGACTCCACCTGACTGGCCCCGTTCCCTCAGCCCAAGGCATGGGGAAGCTTACTTGCAGCCACTGCCACCAGAAAGAGAATTTTCCAGGTCCAGTTCATGGTGGGAACTGTACACTCAGGGATTTCTGAAGGTGTGGGTGTGCTTGCTGTGTGAGGTTGTCAGGATACAGACACATCTGTATTTAACTCAGTGTCCCTTGTGTAATTTGCTTATTCATGAGGAGGTGGAATTCATAGCTGAAGGCCTGATCCAACCTGAGAAGGGGCTGGTGGAAGCCACCGGGTCCATGCTCAAAGGGAGTGAAGATGTCAACATTCTGATCCTTGTTTGAGGAGATGAGACCCTGCCCTGTCCCAGGACCCTGTGCACACAGAGCTCCCCCTCTGAAGGGCCAAGCCCTTTCAGGACCTTCCCCTCAGGGACGCCCACATCTGTATGGCCTGGACACATCTGGACACACCCGGGCTTTGAGGTTATTTCTGGGATCTTTTCTCCTCTGTCTCTCTCCCCCCAAGGAATACTACTCAAGGGATAACTTCCCAAGGGATACTACAATGAGAGTACAAAACCCTCCTACTGCCCCAGTGGTTTTTATTGGAGATAATAAGAATCCAGAAACACCCCTTGCATACAGGTCCTACTGCCTTATGTTCCTCCCCAAATGATAAGTGTGCACAATTTAACTTTCTGTGTCTTATATGTATTTTAATCTTGTTTTTTTTTGAGAAAGCAAAATTTAAATTTATGGAAGAAGGAAATCCATGTTGAGGAGATTTCTGCCTCTCTGCACCCATTTCTCCCATCGCTACACCCCTTCAAGCCTGCAACTCTGTGCTCTTGGGACTTGGTGCCACCTGCAACCTGATCCCCACAGTGCAGGGAAAGCCTCTGGGCTCTTAGGTGATTCAACCTTTTGGCATCTCTAAAACAGGACTGAATCCTGGTAATTCATTTCAGAAGCCTTGTTCACTAGTCATATTCTTTTATGGGCCTTTTGGTTTAGTTTTGAGCCACACCCCATTATTCTGAGGGCTTATTCCCGGCTCTGGATTCAGGAATCACTCAGTTAGATGCATCATAGGAAAATATTGGAAAAACAAGTAATTGTGTATGTATATGAATTAAAAGGTGACACAGAGTGTTCCTTGCTAAGATTATGTATAAGTAATACAATAAATACTTAATTCACTGAAATAATAATAGTAAAATCCAAACTAAAAGAGGATTTAAAACTTTAAGTAAAGGCTTTAATATAAACAGAAATATATTGTAGCACTGTCACTGTCCTCTCTTTGTTCACTGATTCACTCCAGTGGGCACCAGTAATGTCTCCATTGTGGGACTTTTTGTTACTTTTTTGGCATTTTGAATAAGCCACGGGTAGATTGCCAGACTCTGCTTTGTGGACGAGATACTTTCGGTAGCTTGCCGGGCTCTCTGAGAGGGATGGAGGAATCGAACCTGGGTTGGCCACGTGCAAGGCAAATGGCCTACCTGTTGTGCTATCGCTCCCCTGAACAAAACTATATTAAATTTGTTAAATTTATAAAGATGTTTTCAAAAACCAAGCTTAAGTCTAATACAGATGCCAAAACGTTTATTATATTTTCTTACTTTATTTTGTATAACGTAGGAGTAATTCTATTTATTCAGCAGTTGATTAAGCTGATTGAATTGGTCATGAACTCCACATTAATTTTTTAAAATTCAGAATGCTAATTTTATTTTATTTTTTATCATTATTTTTATTCCTTCATTTTTATTGATTCACCATGGGATGCAGTTACAAAGCTTTCATGTTTGAGCTTCAGTCATACAATCATCAAGCACCCATCCCTTCACTAGTACACATTTTCCACCACCAAAATTCCCAGTGTTTCTCTCCCCCCGGCCCCTTTTCCAACCCTTCCTCTGTCTGTGTGGCAGACGATTTCCCCCATACTCTCTCTCTACTTTTTTTACATTTGATATTTCAACATCAGTCTCACCACCATTCAAACCTGCTGAAAAAGCAATGCTAGATGATTTGTTTTGTATTGATTTTATGGATAGAATATAATTTCCAGAAAATTACAATTAAAATAATAATAAAATGAAATAGGTCACACAAGCTTTCTAGAAGGAGGGAGAAAAATTAGGAAAAGCTGTTCTATAGCTTACATGAATATCAAAGAGAAAGCCATAAAAAATTAACAAACCAGGAAAGCACCGATTAATACTCACCCTGCCAGGCGTTGGAGTCCTGGGGGCCTGGTGGGGTGAGTGTGGGAGACAGGGAGGACAGATCACTGGGAGGGGGTTGGGAGTGTGAGGGTGTCACTGAGAGTGGAGCTGCTCCAGGAGCGATGGGGAAGGGTCCTAGAAAAGACGCTGGAACTGGGCATGGATGGGCTTGGGTGGGGGTGATGGGGGCTGAGTGTCTCTGTGTTGTGACAGAATATTGGCACCTGTGGGTTTTCTAGCACATGGTGATCCTCTTTGCCCCCTGGTGGTGCTGAGACCTTTTCTCAGGTAGCTCTCGAGTGCCCTCTGGTGGTCGGAAGCGCCCCTGAAGCCCCTCCTGTGGTCTGGGGGCCCTTCAGAGTCCCCCAATTCCCCGTGTGAATAGAGGAAGACAGTCCTCAGCACCATCGGGGAAAGGAAGTGTGAGCACTGGCAACAAGTCCAGCCTGATTCACACTAGTTTCCCCAGGGAAGTGTGTTCAGAGACAGCCCATGGAGAAGGGAATCCTTCCTGCTTCCACGTGGAGGTATCTCATGCCTGAGTCACATCACAGCTCACGGAGACCTTAGAGTAAGTCTGGGTTACAGAGAAAGGGCCGGATAGGAGAAGCCCTGCAAAGGGAGAGTAAAGGGTCACACTACAAACACAGAAATGCTGAGAAAGAAAAAATTAACTTGTGAATATCAATATCACTGTCAGTAGATTACTCTGACTGTTTGATTCACTAGGCCAGTAGAATTTGCAAGGACCAGTAAGGATCAATATCCATGAATATAGGCTGGGTATTTGACATCTTGTGAAAATTTGAATGATAAATATCTCTGAACAGAAATAAAGCTTCTTGCATTGTCTTTGAATTCAGTGACTTTGAATATTATCTGAAAATTTTTTCTCAAGGAAATAGGTTTTTTTCTTTAAAGTGTGTCATATCCATGCCAATCAGATTCCAAATGGACTAAAATCAGATGCAGGAGGAATGAACTGTTATTCCTGCCTCCTTCTGTGCACCTCAGCTCATCTGCCCCCTGTCTGGGGTACACACAAGTTAGTGGAAAACTGGGGAGTTTGGGGGAAGAGGTCCAGTCCTGATCCAAGTGGGCTTGAAGATCTCACTCACAGCCCTAACTGCATCTTTTCTTTCAAGATTTATGGGTCTCTGAAATAAGTCTAATTAATGAGCTTATATAGCTGAGCTTGAATTGGTTTGTGGGTGTGGCTCCAACATACCTAATATTTATCCATTTGATTTCATGGTAAACGTAGCCCCAAGTTGTTGGGGTCTGGCCAAAGGCACAGCAGCAATTTTGGGGTATCTGGAAGGCTGAATGCACCATCATGCTATTGATGAAATCGTCCCACAGGTACAGGTTGACCTGCTGTTACCATACCCCCCAAATAAATTTATTATATATATGAATTAGTACAACACATGTAAGTAAATAAGAAATAATTTACTTATGGAACGAATAGGGTGAGAAACTGTCTGAGTTCATCATGTCGAACAAGACCATCCATGGTAACTCACAGTTCCAGAAGGCCGAATCTAAATGTTGGACATGGAAGTCTCTGGTTGGACGGTTCCACAAAGTAATTGACCACCTCATATTCAATCGATGGTTTTGCCTGACTGATGTCGTTATTGTTCCAAAATTCCAAATAGGATCGAACCAGAAACTCCTTCGTGCAAAATTCTATTTCATGGAGTGGGGAGAAAGTACTGCAAAGTTTAAGAAAAGAACTTCCAGAACCATCACCAACTGGGTGCTCTTTGGCACTATTGTGGCAACATGGGAAGATGCCGTCGTTGACAATATTGACGAGGAATAGGATCGACTGCTTGGGCACCTCCATGATTGTGCGAGGAATGCCAAGAGAGATAGCCACACACACACAAAAAGGCTGTCTTCAAAAACTCTTGAGCTTATTTGCCAACGTGGTTTGGTTCAAGCCTCAGGCAACCGCAAAGGAAGGTCCGAGCTCGCAAAGTAGTGCAGAGAAGCGATAAAGGAAGAGCTCAAAGAGAGAAGAGCAGCAATGCTGGCAGATGTGACAGAAGTCGGGAAAAGCATTCACAATTCCTGCCTGTCCTTCGTCAACTACAAGACCAAGATGACTGCCCTCCGACATCCTGATGGAGCTCTCATATCTTCCAGAAGTGCAATGGAGATAATTGACTTCTACTCAGATCTCTTTGTAGCCATGTCCACCTGCCCACAAACCAAATTCCGCAGGATGGATATGCAGTTTCCGATGTTCTCCCTTCTGATTCCGACACGCCATTTTGCTGGTAAAGAAATAAACAGCACCTGACCCAGACAAGGTCAGACCTGAACACCTGAAGAACCTGCCGTCAGTACTCATCAATATACTGGCTCAGCTATTCACGCGCTACCTGTCTGAATGCAAGGTTATGTCCCAAGGTAAAAGCAGCAGGACTGTACTACTGTTCAAGGAGGGAGACATCCATGACATTGGCAACTGTCACCCGATCTGCCTATTGTCTGTCATCTACAAGCTGTTCACTCGAATCATCCTGAATAGGATTGGCAGAACACTAGATGAAGGACAACCATGCGAGCAAGCCGGGTTCTGCAAAGGATTCAGCACCATTGATCATATCCACACGATAACCAAGCTCATTGAGGTTTCTTGGGAGTTCCAGATGCCGCTCTGTCAAACGTTCATTGATTTAAAGAAGGCCTTTGATTCTGTTGAGATGGAAGCAGTCATCAAAGCCCTAGCCAATCAGGGCATTCAAACTCAATACATCAGGATCCTCTGTGAGCAGTATTGCGGATTCACTACCAGGAACTCACTATTCTACAAAGGAGTGATCATCGATGTCAAGAGAGGGGTTTGGCAGGGTGATACCAT